TGTTTGTTATAATCATGCCTTGTGATTATTTGACAGGAGTTTTACTTTTAAACTGTAAGTGTATTTAATTTAGTTATGTTAGTTATGATAGTTTAATCATGATGTAAATACAATAAAAATTAAACCCAGATTTATAATAATTATCATTTTGATCCATACATTGGTAATGTCTGGGCCTCGTGTCACTTTATGTTCAGTAAACTGGGCCCTGAGGTCAGAAAGGTGAAGACCCCCTGATCTAATCAGGTAAAAGAAGGTAGCTGAGCTTCTGCAGCAACTCTGCTGACCTGATTACATGTGCTGGTCATGTTTTGGTGACAGTTAGTGAATAAAGTCAAGTAAAGCCTATAAAAGACACATCCAGACCTTCACTGGGCTGTCAGCATCCAGTACAGCCAGCATGATGAGGTCCACGGCTCGGAGCAGGTTGGGCAGACGACCCCTCTTCCACTGGAACTCCAGGTCGTCCAGCATCATGAGGACAGGCTCACCTGGCCACACGGTGGGCTGAACCGGTCACAAACAACCACTGTGGTTATAGTTAAACTGTTTCCTCCAAGTCATGAACACACTAAAGGTAGGGCAGGCCGGGGACAGTAGCAACAAGGGACGGTTGCAACAGGTCATTTTTCTCCAAACATGTACATTCTTCACTATTTGTATTTGAAAATGAAAAGTCAGATGTTACAACTGACCCCGGGGCCGGGGTCAGTTGTAACATCTGACTTTTCATTTTCAAATACAGTGAAGAATGTACATGTTTTAATCATCTATAAATGGTTTTAACTATTAACAGATGTAAGTTTATTGTATTAAMATTTGKTTTGTCTAATTCAAACCATCTCTGAGGAACAGAGTCAAATGTAAAAAGTGTTGCAACTGTCCCCGGTACCAGAGTGATCATGAAGGGTAAGGTTTATGTTRATCATCCTGATCAGACGTGAACAGAAGTGGGTCAGACTTTAATCWCTAACAACCTTGCTCTACATATTTACCTGAGCCCTGTTTTTAATCTCTCGTGTCCAGTCCAGGATGACCCTTTTGTGTGGTCCCAGGTCGTAGTCCGACTCCAGCATGCAGAGGAGGTGTCCCTTCCAGTCCCGTTTCTCTGGTTTTTCGTACTGGTACTCGAACGGTAGGATCTTGTTCTGTGTAACACAGGAACTGGTTSAGGGTGTCCTGAAGACACGGCTCCTCGTGTCCACCCTCAGACTGGAACATCTACCTGCACTCGTTTCTCCAGCACCGCAGCCCAGTCCACGATGAAGTCACGACACACACCGGCCGGCCAGATGTCCTCACCTGTCCAGATGTGTGTGAGGATGTTGGACCTCTGAGGGCACGGAGACACACGAGTCAGCATCTTTKACTAAGTGCTGCGATAAAACGACAGAGGAGAACTCACCTGGCAGATTCTGTTCAGTTCTCGAGTCAGCTCCATGATAAACAACTGACTGTCCACCAGGGGCTCCTTCTTCTCCTGTTTCACTCTCTTACGAGTCTCCTGGAGAACAAACACAAGATCATTGGAGCACACCAGGGCTGTCACTGGGTTTTAAGGACAAGGGGGGCTTCACCCCCAGGAGACACAGAATTTAAATATATACATATATATAATAGGGGTGCAACAATACAGAAAATTCAAAAGCCCAGTTTTTAAATTAAATGTTGCTGAAACAGCAAGTTTCTCAGTGGATCTGTGCTCAAAAATGCAGTCTAGGTGGAGTAGTCGAACACAGATCCACTGATCCTTCAACACAGAGCATCTTCAGAAGACAAGTTGATAAAGTTAATTTTTAAAATCTGTATTGTTCAGGACGGTTCGATACGGGTAAATGTATTGTTGCACCCCTAATATATACATATATATAT